TATCGAGAGACACCATCGTAAGTACAGAGTTACAATTTCCTGTGCCATAAATACAAAGAAACCAATTTATTGTCATTGATATAACATAATGAATTAAAACATTTATCTGCTCCTGCCACATTCTCTTACGGCCGTAGGCTCCAAGAAAACTGATTTACTTAGAACAGTCTAAGGAAACTCAATGTTTGCGATAAGTACGAATAAATTCATGACGATAGCGTCGACTATCGGAATGAGTACATGAATATTTCACATGAATACTGGTTGATTATCTGTTTTTTTCAGCTGACGTAGTTTTTTTCAGTATATACGCCAATTTATGCATATAAAACTTGCTCTGTGTGTGTGATTATGCGAGAGTAAATTACATTTATCAAGATATATTTGTGCATGCAAACACACACAGCTACTCTATTACGGCTTGGTCGGCTCGGAACGCAGACTATTCGTTAGGAAAGAGCCTATTTGGTGATATATTGACGAGAAGAGTAAGAGTAACTGGGCCCATTTTACAGATACCAACTAAGTCTTAATTGAGTAGGATTCGATACTATCCGCTCTATTCATCCAACCTAGACTTCAAGGAGGTGCATTCGTGAAGGCGTTGTGAGACTCTTGTGTACAGGGTCTCTGGATTCTTCAGAGCATGAATGGACCGATGACCTGATTCAATTTATCCCATACTGACAATATTATATGCATGAGTATTTTCTTGCTATACCTAGAATGGGTAGTTTATTGCTTTGACAAAATGCAAAATTGACTAAAAAGTGCTTATAGTACTCACGAAATCACGTCTAGTCGCAATTCACGACACGAATGGCTTTTTTGACGAACATGTCGTTCGGATTAACAGAAACTGTCCTTTTTATTGTACATAATAGTTTTTGAATGCCATATCCTAAGAGTCAGGTCACGCCATGTAAAGCTATGAACCAGGGCAGTATATAGGGATGTCTAGCATTTCAGCAGGAAAGTAAACGAAGACTTTCAACGAAATAGGGCGAATACATATAAAAACTGAAAGTGACGGTATTTGAGGCACAGATTTCGGCCTGTGTGGTGGAACTTACAATCAATTATGGATGTAAGTCATTTTTATATAAACAAGGGTTAAACTAACATAAAATACAAGATATCGATTTAATTCAATTCTTCTAGTTAATGCAAGTAAAAGTAATGCTTAATGCATAGAAAAATTAGTGGGATTCGAAGTATTAAAAAAATCAAATGTATGGAGCGGAAGAATTGTCTCGATTAATAGGATATATCCTATTGTTGACCATGAGTCTCCAATGCTTTCGTCTGATTCATCATATATCATCCAAACAATGAAACCCTGTTTCCAAATTCAGAACGATTGATATTTAATATGTTGTCTCATGAATTTTGATGGATTTTTGCACCAGTAGGAAGTTTGCTGCTGCACAAACCACTGAAGGTGTGAAGGAGTCCTCGATCCGAGTCGTCTAAGTTTGATCAGTCTTTTCTGTTGATCAAACATAAAGCAAGATATATTATATTCGTCAAGTTGCCTTGCTGCCTCAACTTGGCTCTAATTTTTACAGCTGGGGCCCACGGTTCAGCGCTTTTGTAATACAATCCTATTTCGTATGACGCTGTGGCAGACGACCAATTCTTCAACGCTAGTGAGAGTTGGTTGTGGAGAGCTGTCCTCCTTTGTAGATCAACAAGAGGACGAAAGCAGTAGATCGGCTTGACGCCAACTCTCTTTGCAGTCACCGCTTATCGTCTAGTCTTAGCTTGTAGCCCACTCCAAGCTGTTGAGTTTTCTTGATTTCTGTAGAGTAGTAAATGGTTAGTCTTTCTACGGGTTCTTCTGGTGTTTGGCGTAGACTAGCATCACTGGCTGTCGTCATCGGGCTCAGCACATCGTTCATTTTCTGGTTAATTTTTCCTTTTAAAATACAATCTGTGAATGGAACGAGAGCAGGAAATTCGGATGAGATCATCAGCCCTAAAGACTGGATCTCTGCCTGAATCGATTTTGTGCATTTTGAGCATTAGGGGCGTTTTTCTGATCTCAGGACAGCAAGAATCGCAAAAGTTTTGTTGGTGTCCATTTGCAAGAGGCGAATAGGACTTAATGTAAAATGTCATGAAAGTGTGAAACCATTAATTCAAAAGTTAGTACTAGCAATTTCTCAATTTACTTTTTGTATCGCAGACACCACGATCCTCTTCAAATATATTATTGATTATTACTAGGGTGCTCCGATATAAATAGTTGATTATATGTGTATATAAATATCTTACACCCTTTGTACGTTGCTTAAAAGTTGATTCTTCCTATACTCAATCCAAATTGTGTTTCTCAAACATGTAAGAAATGGCCAAATTATCATTTGTTCATCTAGAAACTAGTTCTAAGGCGGTTAGCACTTTTTCGGGGTTGTTTCTTGCAGCTCAGCAGCTAACTTAATGAAACTGATTTGTTTTATCGCTATATTCGCACTTCGCCTTAATTATCTTATTTTTTCATATTTTTTGTCCCGCCGTATAATGTCCCCTCATCCTTTTATACATTATTTCTATTTTTGATCTACCTACTATAAGTAGTATACTCTTACTATTGAATATTCATATTTTGATTGTCGCAAATGCACAACCCAGTCCCATGCACGGGGTTCCATAATCGTTTGCCTTGCTCCCGTCGATTATCGGCGCGAAGTTACAGAAGATTAAAGGCTAAAATTCTAGCAACACGGGTTAGCGATTCACACTCTAAATATTAAAATCCGTGTAGTTAAAGGTATTAGGTGGCCAGTTTGACCACTTACATGGATTAAGTATATTTTGGGTAATAATCTGTTATTATACAGTTTAATTGCTTTTCTTAATTCCCTTCACCAATTAAAGTTGGTCCGAATTTGCATCCACAGGTTTCGCTTATTCGGGTATGAAATGAATTGGCTTGTTTTTAGACGGCCTAACATCTCGTAAATTGCAAACAATGCTGAAGGGGGCTCATTATTAAATGCTTTCTCTCTCACTTACTCTACACCTTTGTGAAGTTTATTTTTGTCCTGAATTCAGGCCACCAGCGATGGTTGCCATGATAGGGGCGCAGCAGCAGCCTGGTTTGAACAGCAAATCTGGTCTAATCAATCTAGTCTGGCATACAGCACGATGCCAATACTTTTAGGACGATTTCGTGCAGACAGATCCACTTGCGAATAGGCAGGACCTACGGCTGGGATGATGGTCATTTTGGCGTTTCCCGGCTAGCGCCATTCAGGCTGCTCAACATCTCGAGATCATTTACGCTCTAGTGAGCGAATGAATTACGTATTCTTGCATAACAAAGATGAAGCTTATAAGGGTAAAATTCATATATGACTGCTCCGACTCATCTTGC